CTGATCACGGATCCGAATCTCGGCCTGGTAATATTTCTCGGTTTGTCAGGACCGTGCTTGTTGATATACTGAAGTTGTGTTTGTTTGTTTGTTTGACGGCGGTCTGTAAATAATCATCAAAGACAGCAAACCTGACCAACCAATCCCGTTAACCGCCTCTTACGACAAGCATAGTCGCCGTTTACGGCAAGAATGGGTTGCTGAAGACCTATTCTACCCCGGATCTTCACGGATAGATCTTAGACGTTTACTGATTTTACTGAAGTAGTAAACGTCTAAGACCAGCATCACTTCGGGCTTTCTTCCAACATCACACTGACATCACGTCATGTAATTGAAATTGTTCAGAGGGGCGTTAAACCGAACTCATTCACTACAGCAGGGCGAAATGAAATGGCCTTTGCTACGGTTGTTGCTCGGGTCGTTGGGTAGCCATGCATTCGTCACGCCAAAGGTCAACACGAAACTGTGTGAAGCTCAGGTTTGTTTTTTCGTAACATTGGAATACTGCTTCAAATTTCACTCACTCACTCGTATTCGCCGGTGTCATTTTCAACTCTGCGATTTAGTTTCTTAAGGATTTTCATACATACGGAACTGTACCGCGTTTGAATGTTATGACTACACTTATTTGTATGTAGAGTGAACCCTAATTTGGAGTCTCATCATCGGACAAACTAAAACATTACAGCACCGTCGTTTCGATTCCACTCAAACGAACAACCAGCTGGTTTTTACGCGAATTTCAAAGAGTTATTGTGAGAGAATTAAATCTACTGCGGTAATCTATGTCGAGCTTTCGAATCAGAAATGTTCATTTTGTGCAGTGCCACTGAACGAGCGAGGAGATGTATTATTAATGTCAGGATTTCAGGCGATAAGCCTTTCGTGATGGAAATCCATGCATCAATCTCATTAATCTTTCCTATTCGTAATCCAGTCAATGCCAGAGATGACAGTCGAGTATATTGTGGAATAATAGGAACGCACCATAGATATTGGAATAACAAATAGACAATACTACACTTTTCTGACACATGGCGAATAAATGAGTTTTGATATTCCGAAAGGTAATTCCCTTCAAATGTAACATGAACGTGAGAATGATCGATGGAATGAATATCTATAAGCACTTGAAACATAATTCCACATTTCCTTTTAGAGCGGCGTGGTAGCTATAGCCTTGTGGTTAAAGCGTTTGCTTGTCACGCTGACAGCTCTGGTTCGATTCCCAACTTAGATGCAATTAGACTAACATTTAGTCCCAGAAATAAAGTTATCTAATAAAAACATATATACCTACAAAATAAGATAAATCAAATCCAAATGCTTAATTTGAAGCTAAGGCTATCTAGACTTTTCAAATCTTTCTAGACTTGAGCTATATTCATTTTGTTCAATGAAATTCTCAAGGGTCTGGGAGACAGACTAGGGTACAGTGTGTGAAGCCGATTTCTAGGTCCTCCGTCGTGATATTGCTGAAATGTTCATAAAAGCGACCTAAACAATACTCTTCGCTACGCTCGTTTACATATTCTTAAACCTACGATGACTTAAACACAAAGGTAATTGTCAGGTTTCCTCTCTTTTTCTTTGAAGACTTAAATTTATAAAGTTTGTATTTAGGCTAAAGTTTGAGCACATGAACTCGACAAAAGTCGACTGATACAAGCTTTATGGACTGATTGTACGTCGCTTTTCAACACTACCACTACCGTGAACTATTGCTACGTTAGTCCTCTTGGTTGAAAACTGTCCGTTATATTGAAGCAATGAACATTTGAAGGATAGTCTTTTCGCACTGAACGCAACTCGAGAATCCCCACCTAGGTTGACCACTATCCGTGCACTAACGCTACAATGATAGCCATAAGTTGACAACTATCCGTGCACTATCGCTACATTGGTTCTCCTAGCTTGTACACTGTCCATACATTATTGATACTTTTGTCCTCCAGGGCTGAACACTATCCGTGCAAAGAGGATCTCTGTCTGACGCCCTGGGAACTTCTCTACATTCGTTTATGAGATACATTCGGAGGTCAACTATGTCGACAGGGCATGCGCGTTTCCATCATTAATTCAGTCGATCCCAATGTGATTTATTTACGTCGACTATATTTGGAAACCTGTATATCAGAGAGGTAGCTAAGTATTAGACGACATGTGAAAACGAAGCTATATCAATCAAAAGGGTTAATACAAAATATACAAAACTTCAATGGCATTGCATAACAACCTGTAAATATATGACACATTATAAATAAATATACAACGACAGTTACGTTCTCATAACGGGCGACTACATGTAGGTTAGAAGCAGTTACGATCATCACACTATAACTTAAACATAAATACATCTCCGTGCATTCGAAAACTAGCCAGATAGCGTTCCTTCGTGGTCGATATCAACTGCAGCAGCTTTGTTGTGGGCGCGTGTCACAGACGGACTAGTGCCACCTGGTTCGGCTGCTCAACACGTTATACTTGCCACATCTTAGCGCCAATAACACTTACCCATTGATTAATTTGGCACACTGATACAAAAGAAACTATTCTTCAGAGATATAAACATAGTTTATCCTTTAACCTTCGTGATGCCTGGCCGTCAACCGGCTTGTACAACGCTCAGTGCTGCACTTTGAAGACTTAACGGTTTCAAAATCGTGGACGTTGTACAAGTGTTACAACGTATTTATTTATTCACAAGTGTAACCAAATGGAGTTAATTATCTTTTCAACGGTGTCTAAACTCATTAGGTCTTAAAGGTATATATGCACTGTCTAGTCAAAGGTGAAAGTGCTGGTATTCTAAGTTAGCGCCCTTGTTTGAAATCTGGATGCCCAATATACCTCTTCTCACAGGGTACATATCATAACGATAATAAACATATCACATTTATGTCAAAGTATAGTTCATCGAGAATTGATCCTAAGTTTAATTGACCAATATAACATATCGATCACATTGTCAGTTTTTTTCACATCAAAACAAAACTGACGGAAGTGGTCGTAGTTTTCTTCATACTGTTTCAAAGATTAGGTTACAATAAAAATGACAGTTTGGATAAAATATATCCAAGTATTGTCCAATGTATATAGTTTATGTGCTCAACAATATATTTTGTGTAAAGGTCCAAGTAAGGCAGTCACGCGCGAAATGCAAGGTAAGGCGAGGATGTATGTCGTCTTGAGGGCTTACTGAAACGAAATTGTTCAGATTGTTTAGCACATGAAGATATATTTATTGCCCAATACTTTGACAGAAGTAATTCATATTTTCGTAATTTTCTCTTTCACTTAATCTTGAAACTTAGTGTACTTGTGCTGTAAAAACAATAATATGTCATTCCTTCACAACGCAAGCGACCGCCTCCGTGGTCTAGTATGAGATCTAGAGCGTCCGCCTGGGGAGCGGAAGGTCCGGGGTTCGCTATATAAGTGCAATAATCTTGGACGCGACGTTTTGCCCAATTTCACCTCACCTCACCTACGCAAGCTATCGTTTTCCTTGTATCAAAAGTAATCTCCAGCTCTTGATGCATAGAAGACACCATTAATGCTCATTTAAAATATTCAGATGCCTACTAGCATGCTGCCCCTTTACAACTCGGTGCTGTTGAAGTGGAACAAATTGTTGCTCAAGGGACGGCCGGGTAGCCTAGTGGTTAAAGCGTTAGTTCGTCGCGCCGAAGACCCGGGTTCGGTTCCCGACATGGGTTCAATGTGTGAAACGCATATTTCTGGTGTCCCCCGCCGTGACATTGCTTGAATATTGCTAAAAGCGGCGTAAAACCTACTCACTCACTCATTCTTGTTCGAATGAAATTATTAAACAAATTATTTTCATCTTTCACGCTGCCCAATTTTTCAACATATACGATCTTTATGATTTTAACTTGAAACATAAACCACAGGTCCACGCTGACATCTGACAATGTGTAATTACTTCCAAAAATTGGTTGTTTTCAAATGTTTATGGGCCGGACTATTGTTTTCGTAAAGAATCACATGGTCGGTCCAGAACGCACTGACAGTACTGACATTCACTGTTGATACATTTTGTTTGTTTGTTTGTTGTTTAACGCCGCACTCAGCAATATTCCAGCTATATGACGGCGGTCTGGTTAAAATCGAGTCTGGACATGACAATCCAGTGATTAATATCATGAGCATCGATCCACGCAATTGGGATTCATGACATACATCAACCAAGTCAGCGAACCTGACCACCCGATCCCGTTAGTCGCCTCTTACGACAAGCATAGTCGCCTTTTATGGCAAGCATGGATTGCTGAAGACCTATTCTACCCCGGATCTTCACATGTTGTCACATGGGTTGTTGTACCCTCTTTGTTAGTATTTCCACGAGTCAGAAGGGCGAGGGAAGATAAACTTAAATATCTTTTCAACATCAATCCATGTCACCCCAGGGACAGGTAATTTATTTTACCACACAGCTTATGTTGCAGTTATGTCTTAAACATGAATTATTTGATCTGAATCGGCAAGAATACCACAGTCAGTCGTGTATCCACTAAGCAGACGACAGAAAACAAGTTAGAATTATTACCCCTAGTTCTGTTTCGTTCGGACAATATCGTAAATATCCGGAGAATAGCGTTACATCATTACTAAGAGATAAAAAATGCGGTTAGTATGATGCAAAATAATGTAACCTTTGGCAATTCGAGCGGGGATTATAGCAAATGAACCTTACATGTTAGCTGGGTATATTGAAAATAACAGAATAGATCTCAGCCGATCGGAATCCGACATCCGCTTACCCAGTGTATAGAACCACTGCTGTTCACACAAGCCTCAGGAATTGGTTTCTCCCCAGCCTTGAAAATATAGATTTGTAATCTATCGCTAGTTGAGTGGCGTAATCTGCCCCGTTCAGTGAACAGATTGATTGGCAGTGCTTTATAGATAAATTAATGATATTCATTAACACGTTGTCCAGTGTGTATTTGCTAACACGCCTCTCTCTATCGCAGGCAATCTTGATGATGATTACTGTCGTGGGCATCTACGGCATCTGCTGGCTGCCTCTGCACGTCATCACCATCGTTGGCGACGTCAACCCTACCATCTACGACTACAGCTACATGAGAACCATCTGGATTGGCGCTCACTGGCTGGCCATGAGCAGCTGTGCATATAACCCCTTCATCTACTGGTGGATGAACTCAAAGTTCAGGGAGGGTTATGTGAACATCTTGAGATCCTTCAGGGCCTGTCTGTCAGGAAGGGATAGGACCTTCTACATCAACAAGACAAGAGGCTACTCCAGCACTGATGACCACCGGGGCAAGCAGAACGGAGATATCGGAATGCGGGATATTGGACGCAGGCGAGATGTCAATTCGCACACGGAATCCGAGGAGCACAAACATTCGCAAATTGTGGATCCTAATCTCGAACTTGAACCTGATAAAGTGCCGCTGAATGTGTAGAGCTGCGTCACAGAAAGATGACGTATATAGGTTGGCCTTACAAAGTGCCACTGAGTGTGTAGAGGTACGTCACAAAGTGATGACGTATATTTGCTAGTCTTACATAGTACCGCTCAGTGTGTAGAACTACGTCACAAATTGATGACGTATATCGGTTGGCCTTACAAAGTGCCGCCCATTGTGTGAGGTACGTGACAAGCTTGTGACGTATATTGGCTGATCTTACGAAGTATCGCTCATTGTGTAGAGCTACGTTACAAACTACAAACGAATATGGATTGGTCTTACAAAGTACCGCTCAGTGTGTAGAGATACGTCACGAAGTGATAACGTATAAGGGTTTGTCTTACAAAGTGCCGCCAATTGTTGTGAGGTACGTGACAAGCTTGTGACGTATATTGGCTGATCTTACGAAGTATCGCTCATTGTGTAGAGCTACGTTACTAACTACAAACGAATATGGATTGGTCTTACAAAGTACCGCTCAGTGTGTAGAGATACGTCACGAAGTGATAACGTATAAGGGTTTGTCTTACAAAGTGCCGCCAATGTTGTGAGGTACGTCATAATTATAAACTGATGACGTATATGGGTTGGTCTTACAAAGTAACGCTCAGTATGTAGAGCCACGTCACAAACGATGACGTATATTTGTTGGTGTTACAAAGTGACGTTTAAAGTAGTGCGCTACATCATAAACGGATGACGTATATTGGTTGGTGTTACAAAGTGACGCTCAATGCGTAGAGCTCTGTCCCACATATGACGTTTTCGGCTTGATGTACTAGTAATTGCTTTTCAGTGTAAAGTGATGACGTTAAGTTGCTCAGTGTACAGTGTCAATCGAACTCTGATGACGTATACGATCGACGTCCCGATCCTTGTAAACATGGACGTCAAACATTTGCTGGACCACAGTGCTCTATCACAGTGGTACGTCACAAAATGATGGCGTATATGATTGCTGTCAGACAGTACCGCTCATTTAAGGATGTGCATCCCAAACATATAAAGCATAAAGTTTGGGGTTGTAAAAATGCCAATACGTCCCATAATGATACTAGTTAGCGAGACCCACAAGAGCCGCCTAATGTGAAGAGGTACGCCTCAAACTAATGACGTAACACGCTTTGGTTCTGACAAATACCGCTTCGTTGAGATGTACCTCTATCTGAGAATGTGTGAACAATTTCGACTCACATGTTGAAACAAAAGAGAATCAGATAGTCCGATTGAGCACATGAAATATATCACGACCCCATTATACCTCTAACTCATTGATGAGAAATAACTTTAAGGGCAAACGGTTTTGCATGACGTTGTAACAAGCGTTTTAACTGAACACCAGACTGTATTGTTTTGTTTGCTTGTTGCTTAACGCACTCAGAAATATTCCAGGTATATGACGGCAGCTCGGCCATAATAGAGTCTGGATCAGAAAAAACAGTGATTGATGAGCACCGTCCCACGCCTTCCAGGCACGATGACAGGAGCGCCACCACTCGAGCCGACCACGGAGATTCGTGTCCCGTGATCCGAGACTGATCACCAGATTCAAATTGCAGCCTCTGGTATGACAAGCATAGGATATATAATTCTAACCAAGAATCTCCACGGACTGTAACAAATGCGCCATTTTGTTGATAGAATGGTGAAGTGGTGAAAGGAGTGACGGGCAAATAAGATCACATTATAGAAGTATAAGTAAGAAAATCTTGATTGAATATCCAGTTATCCCCGTCCACACGCAATCACGTCTAGGCACGTTTTAAGCACATTTATCAGGAAGCAAAGGAACCTCGATAAAAAGAGCAACCAATAGCGACCAAACTCTCTGAAGTAGTTAAGTGTATAATAAGACAATAATCACATTGTCATTCAGATACTTTTTCCAAGGATGACATCTTAGATTATCCTTGCTCTTGATCATGGAATTGTCCACCTATCCTTTAAGGAGCAAACATGACTTTGGGTGATTCCATTGGGTTTTTAATCGATATCTGAACCGGATGAATACTGCTATTAGAAATCAGGTTTCTGAACCGTTATGCTGTGAAGTCATTCAATCCTGATTCAATGCCGACATTGACGTCAAGAGAAGTGGGCATTTTCGATACGGATGGAAACCTAATAATTAATTCATTTTGCCCCTGCTTTGATCGAGATGGACCTAAGCTGTGCCATGTCTGGCACGTTTCTTGGGGACTTCATCATTAAACACGAACCATTGCCACTGATAACTTGTATGTCTGAAGCAATAATTGACGGTGCATTTGACCTATCACCTGTATCGCTATCGTTTGTCAAGGGCCCCGTATTACATGACAATCTTACTTGGAAACACCCTCTGTGTTTAATGGCTTTATCTTCTATTGCTTGCTGAGCATTCGTTCTAGAAATGAAACGCCAGAAATCTATGATTGTGGGTTCGAATCCCGGTTCGCCCCGATTCTGTGCTAGGTTTTGCAGTACCATACCCGTGCTCGTGGGTTTCACCGAAGTTGTAAACATCTGAGCCCTGCATCACTTCGGACTTTCCTACAACATTAAGCTGACATGCCGTGATATAACTGGAATACAGTTAAAAGCGGCGTTAAACCCAACTCACTCACTCACCTCCAAGATTCATGAGTATAGGTGCCCGTGTGGATTCTGGGCTGGAAAGGTCCCCAGCAATCAATGCTGGTCGCAAGAAGAGACTGATGGATCGGATGGTCAGGCTAACTGTCTTGGTTGGTTGCGTCGTACCCCGGCGGCTTGCATCGTTGCTGATATCAATCACGTGATTGTCTGGTCTGGTTATTTTCATGCCGCTTTCATATAGCTGGAATATTGCTGAGGGCAGCGTTAAAAACAAAACAAAAGAACTCATCTTTATTTAGACTGTTTGTGCTTTCGTATTTATAACAGAGAAAGGAAGGTGAATACCTTCTGAAAACCTCAAAATGATGAGTCAAATGTATATATCAGTGATAAATGGAAGACCCTAGCCGGGCTTGTAATAGACGATTCACTGCACTACCTTTATCAATATGCTATTGTGTTCGTGAGTTGTTGAAAACTGTTATATTTTTTATTGTGTTACCAAATAAAAGATATCGAATGCATAAATATGTTAAATGTTTGATGAATCCTTTTTTCATTCTGTTCAATAAATATTGAATTCTTATATCACGTCGTGAAAAGTTTGATTTGTTAGGATTTTGAATATGTAGGATATTAATGAAAGAACACAATTATCCATTTTAAATCTTTTTCATTAAGGGGTGGTTGGAAATATCCTGGGAAATTGTTTCTTTATCTGTTGAGGATGTTTAGATAAATTTCTATATATTTGATGTAAATGGAAATTAAATACCCTTTTGTTTACATTAATGAAATGGTCTCTTACATAAAGAGAGACTCATGCAATAGTTTACGATTTATTTCACATTAACAATCTCTTTGTCTTTAGCCTGTGTGTACCTATAAGAATGACATTGTCCGGAAGGAAATCTATTGGCACTATTCTGTACAGACGTACAGTGTACAGTTGTGAGGCCGACAGCAATATCGACACACATACCTGAGCGTTTACATTTCAGACGTATAATTTCTGTACATACACGCACCATGAATCAATTTGATTAAATTGAAATTTCCTGATACGTTTACTCAGAAAGAAGTCTTATCAGGACTCAACATTTCTCGCACCAGATAACCTAAATTCATGATTGTTGACCAATATATTTGATTACATTGATTTCTTGTTTAGACATACAATGGACAAGAATGTTCATTTTGTCTGATTGTAACAAACATATTACTATCACATATGTTATGTGTTCATTGATCAGTACATGACATTTGTAATCTTAATTTCAACACATTCGTAACAGATATATCAACAAGTCATTCAGGCATAACGTTGTCTTTACGGATTCAGCCAAGGAAATGATACTCACGATAAGCCTCCGAATAGTTGTTCCTACAAAACCAATGCCAGATCCCCACGTTATTCCTCCCAATCGATAGTATATACAATTGTAGAGTATAGCATAACGGTCCTTATTGGGAGGTCGACAGTGGCAGAAGTACAAGAGCAGGCATGACGCTGAAGAACATAACGTCATTTCCCTTGGCCTACTACCTCCGTGGTAATATTTAAGAAGTAAACATGTCGTGTATTTCTAATATGAGATATTAACATTTTGAACAGCACCTGCAAGGATATTAATAAAATGTACAAGCTTTTACAAAGTATTTATCCGTATTTAAATAATGATGAATCCCAGAATACAACCCGACTTCTATCCGACAAGTCTATTGTATCAACAGGGGATTAGGTTTGGTATTTCCCGGATATTCTCACAATTGCCACGTCGATTATCTGTACTTTTTCTTCCCAAAACCGATTGACATATCTCTCCCACTTTAGAATGCTATCGTTGGGCCGTTGCAATTATCTATGTTGCCTGCTACATCTATACGGACCAACTCACAAGACTCTCCCCTCTCAAAAATAACGTCATCAAATTAACGACGTCATCAAGACTTAGTTGCGAGCGGATGTTCGAATCTCAAGAAATAACGTCATGATAGAACAATATTTTATTGTGAAATAAACCACGCTTCGTGCTTCGTTGTTCTTTGCGATTAATCGCGTAGAAATCTTGTATATTATGATAATATATATTTATATATTGAAGACATGAAACTATTATGGTTAACAGATTCTTTATTGTCTGTGAAGAAGTTTCTGGGCTACATCGGGTGAATGAAGAAGCATGATGAAAGAGGCAAGAAGTAGCCTGGAACTGTCTCTATTTGATAGTGATTCATAAACACATGCTCATCATATAGTTAGAATCGTACTATCGACTCTGCTTCCCCTATGCAGGGAGTTCTATTTGATATGGAAAGGGTTCTGTCGCTTTATTTACAAACAATACAGACGTTGTTAATATCCCATACAAGTTTCGAGTCTTCATGATTGTTTTTCTTCTAAATGCCACCAGAAACTAAATCTGTTCTTGTACATTAAAAACGTCAAAGTAAATAAACAATTTCCATAATCACAAGAAATATCAGATTCTGCTATAAGCAGAGCCCATTGTACTATTCCGAGTATATCGTAAGCATGTCTTGATGAATCACTATGAAATAGACATGATGCCAGGTGTTGGCGAAAGTCAACATGTAAACGGCGTTGTGATGAATGTCCTTGTAAGGTTTGGAATTGTGGACAAGAAAAAGGATTCAGGATTCAACATTTTGCCTCGGATTGTCATGGAAACATATCACTTGAATCAGCTATCACTTAGATACTTGATGTAGCTTCAGAGGGTGGCTGAAAAGCTCATATATGTATGCGTATCACTTTGTAGATTAATATAAAATTACATGCACTTCATGTATTTACTTCAGTGAAAACTCTACACTTTTTCAAAAGTTAATTAAAACGATAAGTGAAGATTGATTGTTTTTTTAAGCTGTCTGCAATATTCGACATGCAGGCGATCTCGAACGTAACAAAACCCCGGTATTGTCGAACTCAGCCAGGTCCCAGCAAACTCTTACTCTATGTTTCCAATTATTAACCGGATGTATCGAATTCCCGGAATGCTTTATCGCGTGATTGCCAAAAATGTGAAATATGTGAGAAGAATCAGGTTTATGTTTGTTAATCTGTGATTCTTACTACGGTATTTAATAGTATCGTTAGTTGGTGTTCATCAATACGGGTAGAAACATGACTGAGCAGTCCAGTAAAGGACCTACTTCACCGGGGAATCGGAAAAGGACGGTATCTGTGAAGACAATGAAAGTATTGTGACAGTTGAGACGTCTGGGAAGTCTAAATCCGAAGTTGTTGGAATTTGGAGTCAAGTTCGTGTCAAAGGTGATATAAACATATATTCTAATCAAAATGAAAATACTTTATGTATTAGTAAACCAGCCGTGTCGACTCATGTGAATGCCACTCAATTACAAAAAAAAATATAGTATTTCTTTCAAAATAGAAACATAATGGGGAAATTACAGTGAGTGAGCGAGTGAGTGAGTGAGATTACGTGTGTACTTTAATGCAAACCACTTTCATATAAACGGAATCTGATATTGCTAAATCCTCCAATGGACGTGTGCGTTGACGTTGCATTTGCGACAAGTGTATTCTTTGACGGCCTAAAATGATCTATTATTCATTGTTACTTTTCCAGTCAATTTAATTGTGTGTCCTAAGATTCAGGTTAATCAATGAATGAATGTGTGAAAGTCCACGTGAATGACACAAAATCTTTCTTCACAATTCCTCGTTTTGCAAATGGAAATGGGTTTTCGAAAGCCTAAGAAAAACAACTCGCGCCATGGTTATCGATCCAATTCCTCCATCAATACCAAAACTAAACGCCAGTCGTGCAAAAGATGCTTGTTGATTACGAACTATCTCAACTTGAAGCCAAATGTTTGGGTTGTATGCGAAACTACACACAGAATACAATCTTCCAGCACTTTAGGTCATATTGTGAAATCTCGAAGCGCTATAGCACTGACGTACATGTATGTTTAGTGCTATATTTGTCTTCTATGATAAGGGGACTGTGTGACAGCTGACTGTATAAGTGTGAGTCTAGATGAACTGGTGTGGCATTGGAATTGAAATTGACCGTTTCCTTATCTATCGGCAATTTGTGTATTTTTGACACAGTTTTATATGGAATTGGAATATATTCTTAAGTAAATATTTATGATATTCGAGATTGATATGATTTTAAATTTCTTTTCGAAATTAATTTTAGAGAATTATAACAGTTGCTTTATGACTGAAATATTACAACTAATTCACGTACCGAGTATTAGTAAGTTCAGTTTTAAAGGCAAAATTTTGACTGAAGTAATTTCTACATGGGTAGTCCCAACCAAAGCGAAGCTCCACAAAGCCATCTTTCCTATTAGACGATCGTAATTCCCACACTTTAACATAGCCTTACGACAATCATAGCGCTGAGACCCCTTTGTGGAAGCGTGCCAAGGCTGGTAACTGTTAAAATATGGCATCACTTAGGTTACACTCCAAAATTACTTCCAATCGTCTTTGATTGGTGTGGGTCACTATATAATTACATTGATGAATATGAAAGTTGTCCACAATTTATACATAATATGTGCCCTGTAAGATGTTTGAATATGGAAATATCTGTCATTGCAATGTAACTGACTGGGTTTGGATTCCATAATAATCCACAGATGGATCTTCTATATCCAATTAACGTGAATCGTACGGCAATGTTTTAAACTGCTACTGACTTCGACAGGGGTATTGACAATGACCGATTGATATGCACTGCGAGGATCAACAGTGTTTGGTTTCACGTCAAAGCCACAAAGCCACTGGGTAACAAATTGCGGTCATTGGTGTCCTGTGGCATGTCGTATTCTCCTCGTGATTCTCAGAGGATGAGATACCATATCACCCTCATAAAAACAGTTGTTTTTAATTTGGGAGATCTCTGCATGTGATGAAAGGCCATCGCTAAGGAGTGATCAATCTCTTTGCGCTTGACACGGTGGAATAAATATTAAGATTGTCAAAACCCATTATTGGTCACAAACATATTCACCAAAACAAGTATTTAGCGAAACGCTTGATGATGTAGTCTAAAGATAACATATTCTGATGGGCTATGGACCCTTTTGCGGATGCAAACATTAACAATTAGAGTAGTCATGTTGGCGGAAGCAACAGAGTTTCCCGACATTTGTCACCCGTTGTTACTGCATAAGTAAGTTCAGAATTCAGCGAGCGCGTGCGTTCCGAGTTCAGTGTAAGTTGAGGGTGAGTTAAGAGTGAATTGGGGGTGAGTTAAGGGTGAGTTATGGGAGAGTTCAGAGTTCAGATTGAGCTCAGGGTGAGTTCTGAGTGATTTAAAATTGTGGTGAGAGTGAGTTCAAATTGAGATGAGATTGATGTCAGATTGCGCTAAAGGTGGGTTCAGATTGAGCTCAGGCTGAGTTGAGGTTGCGTTCAGAGTTAAGATTCAGCTTAGATTCGGCGTCATCTTATCTTCCGACAAGCATGTACAGTGGGGACTTATTCAGATGGGACGTTCCGCCGGACATTCGTGTTACTGATTGGAAATAGCTACCTCTCGTCGTTAGCCATGTGTTTTTTTGTACGTCTTTTTTATT